TAAATCAAATTAAGTTTTTAATACATTTGAATAATATTTGTTCTATAGAACAACCCGAGAGAACCCACAAACTAAAGCCATTCCATGCTTTCGCGCTTAACTCGTCGACTGTACTCGGCTGGCAAATATCGCAACTCGCATTTTCCTGCTGTCGACACACCGATGCGAACTCTCAGGGCCAGGCTCACACCTCCACCAGTTGACCATAAAGGCACTCCTTGTTATCCCTAATGACGCTGGGTGTACACGCGAAAACAATAAAATCAGTCACTAACACTAGTTTCACTACCCTTTAGTTTTCACATGTTCCATGCGCTACCGAGTACTGACTGAGTGATCACAAATTATTAGAATCCATAGATTTGAAAGATAAAACTTATTTGGTTAAATGATACTATTTCACGGGTTGTATCGCGTTTTAATTTGATTTTCCATTCCCGACGTTTTTTCCCATTGTTCATGGTCACGGGACCGACTGATTTGTTTCACGTCTTGATGTCCGATCTATGCAAAAGGAGCTTATGTGTCTTGAGGTCTAGCAGTGTTGATGACTTTGCCATCTTCTCTATTAAAAAATTAAGAGGAGCTAAAATTAGGAGGTTTCTTTATTTCAATAGCCTGAGTAGTCTGCACTTTGTTATCATTGATTTAACTCGTACCCTTTTGTGATAAAATCCATAAAATAGTTTCATTTATGTATAATATTCGTTTAGAAACAAGAAATCAATATTTAAAACTAATTTATTTATTATTATGAACCAAATATATCCCACCACTGAGCCTTCTTAACAGCTCGATCTTTGGCTTTGGTGGCCTAATCTGTGGAACGTGATCTTTGTCTCGTTCGATTGGGAAGCCTTCTTATGTCTGCCAGCTAAGCCGTGGTGCCCCTAGGCCGTGTTGGCCCTATGCCAGCTGCCATTCGGCAACCAGTAGACTTGGCTTGCTCAGCCCCATTAAAAATTAACATCATCAGAATTAGAATAACATCAACGATCTTTCATTTTGCATGCATTATCGTGTTGAAGACCTTAATTTAGTTGGCATTTTGGACGTAGAAGTTCTGTTCAAACTATTTTCCGTGCGTTGAAAAATTCTATGTCATATTTCGCCTGGATCTAGATCATAGAACTAAATCTATTCTCAAATCTAAGCTATCCAAAAGTAAAACTGCTTAAAACCATATGAAAAATTTACTAAACAATTAATTTGGTCGTTTAAATGTGAAACGCGCGAATGCTAATTATTGAAGGCATTGCTTGAAAGAACACACAAAGTTTCCAATGACCCAGCGAAGCCGTGGATGTAAAGTACAGTGTTGGTGTTATTGTGCTTTAACACGCTAACGCAAAGCCATCGGGCAAACACAACGTCGAAAGGCGCAATTAACAGGTAACATTCCGAAGTGGCCGTAATCCGAAGCCGATGTCTCGGCCACATTCCACGCGCGATCTGGCGTCTCGCGTACGTGAGCCGGGTGCGTACGCGTACTAGTGGTCTCTGCGCCGAAGCTATGACCTCATGCGCCGATCGGTACATCGCCTCTTAAACGGACGATTTCGCCACGTTGCGTTACGGGCAAATGTTTTCATACATAAAATAATATCCCTATGTGTCATCTTCATTGTATTGAACCTTCAATACGGAACATAATTCATGTTTTCTTTTCATCTTCTATATCTCTCACTAAGGCGACATGTCTGTATTATGTTAAATAAGTCTTGATGCCTACGATACTTAGGCCTCGCTTGGAGTGAGCACCATGTTTAATGGAATTTTAATCGAATAAATTTTGGTGGGTCTAGTTAAATATGTTACACATCGAAGATCTAAAATATAAAGTCAAAATATATATTTATTATCCACGTAACATGAGCCTTTCTTCATATAAAGACGTTCACGCCCACCGCTCCGAGGTCCCAAATTGAGTCTGACATCAACACATTAAGGGTCCACGCGACGGTGGATGCGAAAACTTAATTTATTGTCAAAATAAATTTTTAGTAAATATCATAAAGAGATCCACTTGCCAAATAATTGCAGTTATGACCATCCCGATTAGTTGGGGTATGAGCGGAAAATTTAATCCCAAGAACAATATTATTTCTCTGCAATGCAAATTGTTTACTTGAATGCATTACTCCAGTATTTGCTTTACGTGTTTACCGACAATAATTATCTTTCGTGTTATGTTGCGTGTTACGTTATATTCGTATACTTAACATCGAATTAATTTCTGTTGACAAAAGTAAATGTTGTCGATTTTTCTATCACTGCATAAGAATGTGCATACAGTTTCATACCGTTAGTAATTAAACACACCTATATCACATAATCAAGTTATTTTGCATATTTGTAGGACATTGCAGTGTCACCACACAGCAGCATTCCATTGCTGAGATGAAAGATTTATCTAAACGATGCTCAATACAAACAGACGAAACAAGTGTTTATTCAGTACACGAACAGTATGACGTGTGACTGATTAAGGTCTCATTGTCACGCAGAAGGTTCGTTTAATTAATTGTAATCCAAAATACACAGTTGAGGTAACTGTTTGTCAAGTGTACACACTGATTACACTATGACATACATGTTCATTAATTTATGTTTGGAAATATTTGTAATTTAAGCAAAATTATTAAATATTACGGGATATTTTTTACCCAATATTATATAATCACAAGCTAAGCTAAAAAAACCTCTGTTAAATAAAATGCAATAAATTAATCGCAAATCTTAAGTGAATATTTCTCACTAAGAAAAATTATTTAAAAATTGTATGCTTTACAGGGTCGAGAGTTGAGACCATTTCTTTTGCATATTATAATATATTACATGTAATAAAATTCAAGGGAATTTTCTTAACAATATCGTACCTTATTTTTTATTTTAATTACCTTATTAGTTTCCGTCCAATAATCTTTGAGACTACAACTACATAATTTCAATTCATTCAATTCACTACACTTATTATGAAATTAAGTATTTTAATTTGTTTATTCTTTGTAATTATTCAATTGCAACAATTGATATAAATAGGCATCTATAGCTTGGGTGCTGCTTCCGATTTCAAGTCGCATACTAAATTTTGAGGCCAAACATATGAACACTGGAACACCACAAGAATCTTGGCCATCTGCGTAGGTTGAACCAAATAAATAATATCGACGAAACGCCCGGTAACGGTAGCCCAGTGTCGTTTAATTAATTGCACCCATCTATCTATAGACCATGATTGCTAAGAAAAATGAGGCAATTTATAGCAAAAGTGATGGAAAAAAGTATTAGTCTATTTCAAACTAATTATGATATACCATATGCAACACTGATGTATTACCAATGTTAAATATTAACACTTAATTGAAATCTCTATAATGTATAAAAAAAAGTCGTCCCACTGTCTGTCTGCCCCTATGTATGTTTAGATCTTTAAAACTACGCAACAGATCTTGATGCGGTTTTTTTAACTACATAAAGTGATTCAAGAGGTCTAGTTTCACAATAAATTACGAGATGCATAAGAGGGGAAAACCATATTTGAGAAACAACATTATTTAATTAAAAAATGTGATTATTATTTAATAACCACATATTTTAATAATGTAAATTTTGAAATATAAAATTTCAGAATTGAATACTAATCGTTTTTATACATGAAATATGAATATATCAATCCAATTCTACATCTAACAGTATATCGCCTCAAGTTCTCGCTGCAAATTTATTCCGAAAAGACATTAAGCGTATTTTGACAAGCTTTTGTGAATTATCATATGGAAACAAACATACTATTTATATCTGAATAGATATTACCGTAAGGTTCTACATTTCTCTGATATAATGTGCAGAAAACAATAAAATATTCTATTACAGAATTCTAAGGCATTCAACTTCCAAGCAAGACAGACGCTCGACAAAGATCCCAAAATGCAAATTTTTCATCCATTTAACGGGCTTTGCTCCGTGAAACTAATCTATCGCACGCGATCCCGCAATTTGAAAATACTATTAATGCTCACACATAAAACGATGAAACGGTGGAACATGAGGCGATGGTCGCTAGAGGAGCGGCCATTCATCAGCCGAATCAGTTGGCGGACGGAATGCCAACGTACCGATAAATCGTGAAACTAATCACAAAAACGAGGCGGAGGAAATGGGAATCATTAGGAGTTAAGCGCGGGTTAAGAGGCAAAACTGTGCATCATCTTAATGCTTTAAATGAAGTGAAGATTGGATAATTAATTTGGGGAGTTCTCGTGACGCACGGGTGGGGCGCCGTGAAATACGACTATGGTCAATTGCATTTGTCCGAGTTGAAATGAGTATTGGTGAATGATAGTTATATATTGTAATAACTCTAAATAATCTAATAGCTCTTCAATATTTTACATATTTATATTTGAATTCCTTCATGGCACGAACATACGAGTAGCTTGTGCGAATAGTAGCGAATAAGTAATATAATATAAACCACTTCAAATTTAAGCCATCAATATTTGTTCCTGGTCATATTATTTTAAGTGTATGGACAATGTATAAATAAAGTCACATTTTCAAATTTTATTTAACTATACAAAGTACGTAGGAATAATGGCTCGCTTCTAATTTAATCTTCACACTTGTTAAGTCGTTCGTAGTATGATCAAGAGTTAACTTGAACTAACTAATTTCAATATTTTATCAAATCGTCGTGGTTACATGGACGTGTGAGTTTATTTCCAGTTTATCATATTGAAATGCGAAAATGAATTTTATCTCGTTTTTTGTTAGATCTTTATGCTTGAGAAATGCTTTAATTTATTTTTCTTTTTATTTGCGTACACTGATGAATTAAATACGGAAATTCCACTTAGTTGCCATTTTTAATAGTTAAAATGCTAGTAATATTTAAGTAGGTGTTATATTCAGCGCAAAAATTAACGCATAAAAATACTAGGATTAGTTTCTTTTTAATCATAAAAAACATTAAAGGATTTCAAGAAATTGTTACAAGAATGATTTCCATCTACCCCAAGGTATATAAATTCCTAATGGTCACTAGAGTCATTGTAAATTCTATGCAAAAAGGATATATCACAATAATGGAAGGGAGCGCGTTTATTTATCCCCAGCTAATGGTAATGGCAATGTCGAACTGGTTGTTTACAAGGCAGGACATGTTATACGAGACCAAACAAGGTTGGTCTGGGTGGCAAAAAACAGCAACGCATTGTGAGTTGCGCCGCGTCTGGCGACCCACCATGCTCAATGTTTATTCACGATGGCGCAACACGGAATCTTATCATTGGGTTTGACATACAGCAAACCTCCTTTGGTCTACTGTTATTTGACAAAGGATTTGAGCTGGTATCAAGATTTTGCGTAATTCTAAATAAAATGCGCCAAGGTTGTGAGAAGGAAGCAAATATTGTTTAATGGAAGATGTGTGTATTATATCAAAAATTTGCTCTTGCTCCGTATCTGACTAATATCGCAAACGACAGTTTTTTATTAATGTGAAAAGTTGCCAAGCGAGCCGGCGGTTCACCTGATGTTAAATTAATACCGCCGCCCGTGGACATCTGCTACATCCGAGGGTTGCAGATGCGTTGACAACATTTTAAGAATTGGGCTCCGGCTACCTTACTCACCAGACGAAACGCAAACGTATTATACTTCCACTTTACGCCCGTCTTCTGTTAGGACGTGTTACTTACCCGGACGGCCCTGCCCATTCGTGCAACTGCCGAGGCTGCTGCGTGGCTCTACCACAGTTAAAGATAGTTATGAAGTTAAGTTGTGAAGAGCTATCGACTAAACAGATTAATATAGATAGATATCCACCGTAGCCTAGCCTCTCTTTCGGCTCAAATTATAGGCTATGAAAGAGCGCTGGAATTTCATATTGCAGACAGTCTCTCGATAGGGCGACGATACCAATGTTGTGAGATTCAGTACTTAAATACCTGTTGCTGGGAGTAGAAATTTTCTCAAACCTCAATTTTAGCCGATTCATTAAGTCTAATGTCAAAGCAGCTCCGAGCGAGTTAGTTATCACTGCAGTTATATTTGGGTGAATGCTGCTAAATGCCACCTAGTTGCCTCGCAGAAAGTCTTGGGCACAAACATTGCTTCCTTTAAGAGAGTATGCATCTGAATCGCAAAATTGGCTGCTGCTGATTATATACTTTAATAATTTTCGAAGCCTGTATATTAAAAAAAAAAAAACGAGTTTCTTGCCGGTGCTTTTTTGAAATGGTGTAGTTTCGTTAACCGTAATAAATATTTATGTTCATAGTATCGGGTAGTTTTTCGAGGTTTTATAAGAGCTTAAATCAGGCCTTTATTGAATCAAGAAATTTTTACTTCGATTTTGAATAACTCGAATGACTCCTTTGTCTCCTATCCACCTCTCAATCTCCGACTGCTAAAATTAACGCCGAAATTCCATTCTATCGTTGTTATTTCACACAAAAAATAAAGAACAGCAGTGGAATGAATAAAATTTGGTAGCGTCTTTCTTTACGCAGGAATATAACAGTGAGTTTTCAAAGCTAGGGTCAATACTCTACTGAGTTAGAGCTTTAAGCACCTATGACTATATCGCCTTACTGAGGGGTTGGATCGCAGGCAAACACTAAAATGTCCGTCATAAGATATAAATTATTTTTTTTACTATTTCAAGTTAATCAATTTTATTTTTACTCAGTATTACTTCCTAAAGTTAAGAATGTGATCTTGTGTGACCACCTAAAATGATGAGGATCAAACTAATTTTATAGGAGCTCTAGAAAACATAGGAGAATCTGTCAGTACGAACTCATCGATATATAAAGCCGCAACGAACGAGGAATAACCAGTAATATAATGTAACTAAAACTAATATGATGTAAACGAAGGCAGATACAATACTTAAATTATTATCACACTTATTAACAGTGTTCAGTTCATCGTTTTGTGTAGAATCGTGAGCCGGTAAAGAGCATAGATAATAAAAAAACACATAAATTAGTAATTTACAAGGTTGCTGTTTTCTAACATGTGTTGTTATTATTACGACAGTCGTTGAATTCTTTATTCGTCAGGCAGACGCTGTGCCGACATTCGCGTTTTACAAGAGAAATAATATTTGATCATAATTATCTGATAATAGTGAAGAGGTGAGACGTGAAATTTTATATTTTATAGAGTTAATTAAAAGTCAAAACTCGCAGTAGCCGGAGTTCAAGTCCGTTACAGAAATAGTGAGAACTCCCTCCTCTAGTCAGTATCTGTGTTTTATACCTCATAGCATATTCTTATTTTGAAATGTTTTGATTAAATTTAGTAATAACTTTCAACTTTCTGTCTGCGAATCACTCTTCAAAACAAAATAGTTTTGCAATTCGAAAGTTTTTGTAATAAATATACATTTCCATTTCCATTGTTTTTGAACTAATGTAATATTCTTGTCGTGATGGCTCAGTGTCCGCGCTTTTAATTCAATGTACTCGAGAAACCTGAGTTCAATTCCCGGTGCCAGCACTAATGTAATTGTTAATTACAATTTTAAGAGTTGACTTATCTCGTGAAACATTAAAAATAATAACAAGAAAAATATTTCGAAGTGATGTAAAGTCTGCTAATCCACAATGAGTTCGCGTGGTAGACTATGCCCTAATACCCTTTATACAGAGGTGGCCTTTACCCAGCAGACATGTATAGGCTGTTACTTTACTTTACTCTGAACTATTCCTAAAAATATATACATTTTTAGAGTTATGGCTTCGAAGAACTTAGCATGTATAAAACATGTATTACTGTCATTGCAGCTTTGAAATTAAATGACTTTTAATAACGTATGAAAATATATAAAAGTCAGACATTTATCTTTGTACTATATATTTCAAAAGTCGTTAAAGACGAAGCAACCCATTAACTTATACATCCAAATAATTTATTACAGATGTAAAAATAAACAGAAACATGTAAAGGCTGTAAAATCAAGGGTAAACTTGCAACAATTTGCAAGTAAATTAAAATCCCCGAACCGGATTACCATTGGCAATAAATCCTTACATAATAAAAAAATATTACGCTTGACGTAAAAACGTCAGTCTTCTCTTGGCTGTGCGTAGGTGAGTAAAGAACAGATGGTGGTTTTTCACACAATGAAAAGTAGATACCAATAATTACTAAAGTGCCGATTTAAAATAAATCTAATATATCAAGAAAAAATGTCCGCGGGAGAGCCACGGGTGCAGCTGGACGAGGTGCTCGGCCAGCTGGGTGCCTTCGGGAGGCACCAGCTCATAACCATGTGTATGCTGGCACTGGTATACGCCACCAACTCAATTTACAATGTCAATTACGTTTTTGCAGTCGAGGATGTTAGTTATAGGTGAGTGATCAAAAATGCATACATTAAATGCACTCTTAGTTACATCTAGACTTGATAGTCGTTGGGTGATGAATAGTATTATTAGAATGCGAGTTCCACTACTCTGCGCCTCTACTACGCGTTATAATTACGAGTCTTTATTTTTCATATCTTAATCCGAGAACTTACGAAGATGAGGTAGCCACTGAGGGCGAAGTTCTGAGTGGTCTCTCTTTGTCCTGCAGATGCGTGGTACCCGAGTGCGAGCCCTCCCGTCCGCCGTTCCCAGCGCCCTGGGTCAATTTGTCATCCAGCGAGAACGGCATCAAGCAATGTCGCCGACACCCGCCCCTTACGCCCCTGTGCGAAGGCCTCAACACGAGTGCGGAATACGAGTGCGCGGAGTGGGTGTACGATGTGCCGCATAGCTTCGTTGCAGAGGTCAGACTTTATTATATATAATTATGTTAGTGAGAAAATGGTCTTGAGGCGTCATCTCAATTAATGTCCAAGATACCAAATCGACTGAGCATCGCACAACGATTCATTGTAAAATTGAAAGCGACAGCGTATCAATTAATCCCTATTTGTTGCTGACAGAAGAAACAGGTTATTTGCATATGCCTTCAGCCTTGATACAACGTGCCCGCGGCGGGTCTGCACCGATCGAGGCCTAAGGCACTTGACATAAGAACAAAAGTAGTGTCATAAAGTTTAAATGCAAGCAAGAGCAGAAAATTACTCAAAGCGTAGTTCTGTTTTTCCTCTCTTGACCATTTATTTATTTAAGGTTCTTTAATGCAAGTTTTACATTTTAAGAACTTTTTCTGATTGTTATGACCACAAATTAAAATTTTGTTCAAGGTATTCTGTCTATCATTGCTATTGCCGTTCCCATCTAGATAAATATAAAAAAACAAATCAAAATTAATTACTTATTTTAAAGGATACCACGAAAGAGGAACCCATTCGATAGAAATCACCAATATTTGTTAATGTTGCATCGAGATATCTAATCTCCAAATTGTTTCACATGAGACCGAACACCTGTCGTCCTGATTAATTGGACAAGACCTCGTCGCTTGGGACGCCGTCAATAATTGTCGTTTTGTTTATAGAAATGTCACTAAGAGCTTAATACTTCATATGGTCTACCGGAGATAATCATTAAGTAATAAAAGTAACTCTTGATTACAGAGAAATGGGCTTCTGAGGGCTACTCTTCGGAAAAGGGGAAGCCGATGGTATCTGATTGATAAATATCCCCTTAGCACTTGCAGGCCATTAACATGCGTTGGTATTTATGTCCGAACGAAGTCGCTGGCGCATCTATTTCAGTGGCTAGATCGCCCGCGGATATCATCTGTTAGATAAAAGCTGTAACTGCACACGGATCTACCCTTTGAGTGTCGCGTGAGAAAATCTTGGCCGGCAAAATTTAAGAAATGCCCAGTGAGGTCTTAATTGATCAGATAATTATAAAAGCCCAGCTTAAGCTGTGCCGTGGGGATCAATGAACTTTACTTTTCAATAAGCCCTTATCAGTTTTTACATTACTTCACATTCTGTAACTAATTTGCAGTGAAATAGCTGTTATTTTTAATATTACCTTAACGGAAACGTAAAATATTAAAAGGTTTATGATAGCCATATCTTTCACTTATAATTATGAGTACACCTAACTTTCACCAATACTTTTTCAACTGATTACTAATAATTATTATTATTATATTTGTAATCTACTCACTGCATATTCGAGGACATTTATGATTCCACCGACAATGCTACTACATGTGTTACTCATGATCAATAGATGATTTTAACTTTGATGTTTATGCAAATTATTCAAAGTGAATTTGAAGTAAATGATGTTGTCTTATATTTAAGAGAACACTATGATCGAAATTAAACAGAATGGCGGGTTCATATTTCTATAAGATTTGCCGAATAAATCTATATAGGTACTACTATAAGCCGCTTCTAAATTGGATCAACTTTACACGTTGAACTACAAACATTGTAATAAAATACACAATGTATTCTCATGGTCTTCTTTCCATTTTATGATTAACTCATTGATGCTTTTATAACAGTCTGTTGAAATTACTAATACTCTTCGGACACGTGAGATTCGCAAAAATATTCTCAGCGCAATGTCTTTGACCATAAAATAAGAGTGATTGTTAAAACTAAATTACGGCGAATTAATAAATTAATTCGCTTATTGTTGCTCGTACGGAATTAATTATTAGGCGGCTTATCGTAAAACGATAACAGCTTTCACTTACAAGTTACACTGTTTATAAAACTTCTCTTTAATATATTATTTCAAGGTATTAATTGACGACGCTTATAAAAATAATAATTGAGGCAAATGTAAAATTGTAACTTGCAGTTTGGGCTTGCCTGCGAGGATTGGAAACCCCCACTAGTGGGCACCGTGCACATGTTTGGAAATATGGTGGGACTACTTCTGCAAGGTCAGATATCGGATAGGTGAATATTTTCAAAACCCAATTCATTATCTGATTATTTATTTCTTAAGTACGACTAAACATTTATTATCTCAGATTCGGACGTAAAACCGCAGCGGTGTTCGCTGGCACCATGGGGGCAATCCTGGGACTGACCAAGAGTTTCGCCAACACTTTCTGGATGTACATTATTATAGAAGGCCTGGAAGCTGCCATCGGAGATGCTTTGTCACCAATGTTCATGTTAAGTACGTTCTATAAGAACAGTATTGAAATTTAACTTGCAGTTCTCAATTTAATGGCGGTATATATTTCAGGTATCGAAATAGTGGAAAAGAAGCGGGCGGTATTCTTTCAAATGATTTTGCTGAACTGCTACACGGGCGGCTTGATCATAATGCCCTTCATAGCTTGGGCGGTGCCTTACTGGCGTCACTTCCTCAGGGTCATATACGCCCCAACTCTGATCATCCTCACCTATTCGTTCTTCTTGGATGAGAGCATACGATGGCTCCATAGCAAAGGACAGACGGAAAGGGCGATAAAGATAATAGAAAAAATCGCTAACCGGAACAATGTTCAAGTAGACAAGATGCTGCTGAATAAATTAGATTATATAAATGAAGATTCTTCACCTAACATTAACGATAGAAAGCTGCTGTTAAAGACTTTTAGATCGAAAATCATGATGCAAAGATTCCTCGTGTGCCTGGTTTGGTGGTTCACCATAACGCTCATCAACTACGGAATGATGATCAGCTCTGTTTTGATAGACGGAAATAAATACGTCAACTTTGCGCTGCTCATGCTGATGGATATACCGGCAAACGTCTTCTACTGGCTTGCGCTCTCCAAGTACAGGAGAAAACTGCCCTTGCTGGCCTCGTTTACAATTGGAGGCTTGTTTTGTATATCGCAGCCGTTTGTTCCTAAGGGTGAGGCGATCTTTACATAGCACAATAATAAAACGGAATCGGATGAAATTATTCAAAAATTTAAACGTATTTATTTCAAAGACCCGATTGGCGTAGTATACACATTTTCAGTAGTTTTTATCCGTGATACGCGGATGTATTCTTACCAAATCTATACTAATATAATGTTCACGGAATAAAATATCATCTTCAATGGCACCTTTTTACATATATTCTTGCGCTTCTGATATATTTCGATAATGGACAATTGTCTCGGCAGGATACGCGTGGGCGGGGCTCGCGCTCTTCATGATGTTCGAAATGCTGGCGACCTTCTCTTACAACATCGTGTACATGTATACGTCGGAGCTGTTCCCCACGTACACGCGCAACTCCATGCACGCCATCTGCTCCGCCGTGGGCCGCGTGGGCTCGCTGCTAGCGCCTCAGACGCCGCTTCTGGTCAGTGGCCAATGGCTCTATGGAACCTCTTCACGAGTCGATGTCTATGTTCACTTGTGCAATACTCTATACGCGCTCCTGCGTAGGCTCTCGCGATCTACGCTGTGGCGCAACCACGATAAGATCATCGTGGTAGGTTCGCTGTTGCACAAACTTTTTTTTTAATTTTAAAAATCAACGAATTATTGTCTTTTCTTGTAACAGCTCCCCTATGTTAATCTCTAATATTAAACAGCTTATATTTATTTATTTTTTACTTTCAACACAATGTACAAACAAACTAATCTCAACCCAACAGATGGCCTACTGGTCGGGACTACCAGCTGTCATTTTCGGGATGACATCGCTGGCGTCAGGGGCTCTAACCTTGCTTATGCCGGAGACTGCGAGTTGCCAACTACCTGACACCGTGCGAGAGGCAGAAACTATCGGACAAAAAGTGCTACTAAAGCCCGAAGAACATGAGCTTAAAGGTACTTAGAATCAACAGAAGTTATTTAAAAACATGATCAAGATGATTCAACATTACACCATACTGATTCTTATTATTGTTTAGGTACTTAATAATAAAAAAATGTTATAACGTTATCTCAATATGATGTAAATATTGAAAAGAAATTGTCCATTTAACAATAATGCCTTAGTTAATGCAATGAAGATCGAATAAATCGATCGATCGAATAAGGAACCTGCTACTGAAATAATAAAGTTACATTAATTATAAATATAGTAAATGATAGTAGTTTATTTGTAATTAATATAAACTTGTAAGTAGCGCACGATATGAAATTAAAACGAAGGTTACTCAACAGTTGTTCATTATAAGATTTACTTCTGTACCATGACTTCTATTTTACCTTAAATTATTCTTTAGGTTGGTTAATTCGAAGACGGCAGCGCGTTGGTCCATATCTATGGGTAAATTCCAAAACCTTACCATCCATTACAGGTTAAAACAAAACTAAAGGAATAGAGGTTATTTAGAGAGACGCTATCTAATCACCCCATTAAGAAAGCCGTCTTAAGCATATATGATAGATATTATACGGACACCGTTTGGATAACTAAGTCAATGCTAATAAAGAAGAGCTTCGAAGTGGTCGTACAATTTTTTGTAACGGGAAATGCCACCACCATACTGACGGACACTTGACGGGCGAGCACATCCGAAAATTACCATTGAATGGTAAATAAATAACTTGTGTTACTTTGCTGGATGACTTCCATGATTGGATGTGAGTGAAAGTATGTCAGCGTCAGTAATGAAGTCAGATAACGAACGCTCGATTCCGCGAAGCAGTTGCGGTGGCCGAGCCCTAGCCGGTAGTCACCACGGGCTCCATGAGCGTATCAAGTATTATAGGGTTTTTACCTGTGAAGGTGTCAAATGAGCAGACGGTTCACCTGATGTTAAGTGATTAACTGCGCAATTAGACGTCTGCAACCACATCGACATCTGTGAGGTTGCACATGCATTACCAACCTTTGGAAAGTACCTATAATACTATAATACTAATCCATTTCACACCGGTCCTCTGTGGGGCCGTGGTACTTTCCCGGATGAGCAAAAGCTGGCCCTGCCGCAGTAAAATTTTATTCCAAAAACATAACAAACTTAAGTGCAAAGTTACTCAATTTTCCACTACATTGAAAAATATAAATGAAAAAATAGGTAATAGGATCGTTTCAAAATTACAAAAAAGAACCAAGATTCAGTTAAGCTCAGAACGATGACACTGAGCTTCGGTACTTGTTTCAATTTGTTGACATTTATATTTATTGACAAATTAACATTTACTTGTCAATGTGATTTTTTTTGGATTCTGTATGGGGACTTATCAGGATCAGCATTAAACTCCTCAGAATTATACTACAGCGGCTAATTACGCATTTGAATGAAAAACGCATAAAACGAAAATACAACATTTTACGGAACTTTACTTGTGGCAATTTTAATGAATTTGTATTATAAGGTGATGTCCAATTTTACTTACGAATACTATGTAGTATAGTATAGTAGTATTAGCAAGTAAAATTAAACGTCTATTACTATCGAATCACATAAGGAAAACATTGCAATTAATAAAACCTAGGTATGAATAACTTTTGTCTTGGTGTTTTAAATCATTTTTTTTTCTTTCGTGTTCACGCTTGACACATGTGTTATTGTAACGCAACTTAGTTTTCCCGGTAAGTTTCTCAATAGCTTTCTACACAAGTCGTCCGCAAAAGTTATTTTGGTGCCGTGGCCACCCTGATTGCCGACGGACACGGAACTTTCGAGAAAACGCAGTCGGGGTGAGGGGGAGGGCGGGGGAGGCGTTTGAGCGATAACAATAACCACTATAAGAACACGCTTTCGATACAGCACTGCCTGTCCGGACTTGTACCTGAGCAGGCTTACCGTATATGTACAGATGGAAGTAAGATGAAGATGTCAAGTTACCGCAATAATCAATATACTATTTTTAAAGTAGCAAAGTAAAGTAACAGCCTATACATGTCCCACTGCTGGGTAAAGGCCTCCTCTATATAGATGGTATCATATTTTTGTTATTATTTCGAAAATATGCAGGTTTCCTCACGATTTTTTCCTTCACCGCGGAGCACATGATAAGTCGGCACTTAAAGTTAAAAACTTCGTTGGTGCAGGCACCGGGGATCGAACTCATGTTGCTCGAGTATATTGAATTAAAGGCGAGCGCCCGGACACTGAGCTATCACGGGATCATATTATTTTTACACTGTTTTATACAAAGTTTTGCCACAGCCAACGCGGATGTTCCAATTGCTAGACAAGATCCATCTCGAGTGATGATTCGATTCAGAATTAATCTTTCCAATAAATAAATAAAACAGTGTGGTTTATTACTTGCATTGCTTGTGAATTTCGGACGAAAATGCTCCGACCTTGATTTTTAAATCATCTTTATCGACCTGTTTTCCGGCTCACCACGGGGCTCATCGATCATTTTTGTGGTCAACATTTCCACAACGGAAACGATGTAACCCAAAACTCAGCGTGCGTTTCGTCTTTTTTTGCGTCAGTGCCAGGATAGATTATGTAATCGAAAATAACGCGCTATTTTTGCCATGATCACAAAATTGGATGCAGTATCGAAGATGAAAAATTAAATTCTGGAAAAAAAATTGTTATAAGATTTTTTAAACAAACGTGACAGCTATATTATAAAATGAAATATCGAACTCCATACGAGCTGGATTTTAAAAATCGGTAATTTCATAGGCCTTTCATGGGTTTTTCATTGCAAAGACTTTCCAAGCTTTGGATGCCAATATTTCCCACTAGCGGTTTTTGAAAATTCAAATGCATTCATAACTTATTTGCATAATTAAAGTTGTGAATAGCATGTCTAAATTATATTGACTTTAACAATTGCAGCAATAAATAATATGATATTCTAGCAGAAACATCATCTTAATAACTTTTATAGTACGTCTATTTAACTCTAACCTTAATGGCTGGAACAAAAACAAGATCGAACAGAGCTAATGAAAAGATTTATTGACCTTCGTAGACTTGAGACGACTTCAATGTCGGAGGCAAAAAAATCTCTCAGTCCGGCTCACTTAGAATTTATTGGTACATTGCCTCACGACGCTTGGCGTAATGTTTGTAATTGATCTATTAATCTACACGAGTACAAATCGTCAGTATCGGCTTCCCCACGCCTCGGACCGGTAATTAAATTAAATTGTGGCCCAATGCGTTTGTTTTATTAACGGCGTCTCTTCCAAAACGTATGAGCCTAGCAACCAACACTTCCGCCATGTGTGTAACGGAAATATCGTCATTTATGTTTAAAAATTAAAAATTTACACGCCTATCACTCGTGGCACACGATCAGATTAATCTGAAATGACGTCGACGAAGAGGCATTGTCGCCTCATAACTTCAAAGTGGACGAAATATTCATCAAATTCATGACATCGCTCAAAATTTCAATGTCAACTTAAGATCATTTGAAATAAGTTCAATGTTTACATATATTTTTGTGTAAATACCTAACAAATTTTAATGGATAATAAAAAAATAGCTTGCCACACCATACGACGAATTAAAGTAGGATACTTCAACTTAAAATGTTCAATACATTAATTAAAATTACGATGTTGATGTAAAATGGCAGCCTGAAATTTGTTTTTTTTTTCTGACAACAAATATTTACATTTTCTCCTTTCAACAAATTACTAGGCAATGGTATTCGGCTATAATGGAGCGTTAACTTGGAGGAAAAACATTAAGAAATGTCTCACCAGTTTCACAGATTACCATGGTAATAAAAAAACTGTCCCAATATAAACAATTTTTTTTTATAATAACTACAAGTAGAAGAAGAAAAAGAAACGTTTATTCACCGTCTAAGCACAAAGGATACAAACTTAAAAAAATGTAACTACTCAATATATAAAATAATATTGGAAAAACTTAAAATAAATCTAAACATAACAACAAAACAAAAAAAAATAAGTGAAGGTCTGTGTAGCAGCAGACCGTGAAACAGACCGGACTCAGTGTAAGTCGAGATACAGAACCTAAAATTCGTTCTGTTCCCGACACTGATTTTCAATCCGGTCCGTACTTTGAGGCGAAATATATATTAAGTACAAGAAGTAATCAATATATAGGCACATTGGATGAGAAACAAGTGTATCTACATTTTAGGACATGGGGGGTACTAGTAATAGGTTAGAATTTTAAAATATTTTTCCGTAGATTTAAGACTCTCGTCTTTTTTATTTGATAGGAATGCAGGTCCTCGAGATCTATCCCCGACCACGTGCAGGCCAACGCAATCCGACGACCGAAGGGCAGCGCCCAACGCAAGTTTGTGTTTGTCGAGCGCACACAGCCGCCTTCCCTTAATTGACATCTCATGCTTGGCCCCGAGCACTTTCCGAAACACGACGCCTATGTCACGCTACGAACTAAAGATAAACGTTAAAGGGGATATGTCGCGACCTTAAGCGACTTTTACTGATACAAATCAAATCATTTAATCATCGAAATAAGACATATACATTTCATGTATCGATTGTCATTTTTAATTCTATCACAGAATCAGAATCTTTCAGCCGAAAGAAACTCCGTAGGTTCCTCTTCTTTGTAATTTTTTCTCAACATATTAAAGTTATTATACAGTATAAAAGGGGTTATATCAATAAAATATTCATTAATATTGTAATGACGCTTTTTAAAAAGTTTTTCTTTAATAGATTTCTTAAAGCTGGTAATAGGCAGGCTATGAGTTGTCAATAAGAAAATTAAATACACTGAAGTATTAACTTCGCCTCGGTGTTCGTCGTGCATCGGTTCGTCGGTGCTCATTTATGAGCCACACTCGAAAGAACCTAGATTATTAGACAAAAAAGCGAGAACAAATTTTAACCGTAGTTGAGTTGAAATAATATATACCTAATGAAAAATATTAAAGAATGGATGGTTTATTTTCTTAAACTTTTCTGATGATCATAGTTATGTAACATAATAAAAACCCACAAAAATCTTTTGCAACTTCAAGATTAGACCCATTTATAAAAATTTGAAATGGCTGGTCTTCGAAACCCAACGCCAACAACATATTTTTAGACATTATAGACTTCTTAAAAATACTAATTAATCCCACACTGGTATTTCACAAGTGTGAGATTAATAATTAATTTTAAAAATATTTATGGACGTTTTCAATAAAACTATCTGTTCTCAAAGCTCCAGTCGTTGAACGTTACCTCAATAACAGTATTCACGAGTCACCAGAGAGGGCGTAAAAAGTGTGGGAAATACGGGAACTCCATTATTGTGGAGAGGTGAGGGTTAGCAAGTGGGTGCTAACTCCCTTACGACTGGAGCCTTCCGTCTCGACACCAACTAAGGAAACCCGACGATGGGGTTTACTTCTTCCTTTTTAACAATGGAACATTCGTTCAAAATATACGAACAATGCTATGATACTTATAGGGAAAAATTAATAACTTAATCGCTAGAATACCACATGTTTAGCTAATTCGGTCACTTTTTTCTCACAGATAAAAGATAATTCTTTAGTTAAGTTCTACGTCAGGTTGTTTTTTAATGTTGTGTTTGCCTGTCATTTAAATCTTATCCTTTAAACGAGCAATTCTTGTATATATATATAATCGGAATGTCGGAAACAGCTCCAGCGATTTTCATGAAATTTAGTACGTGATTCGTGATTCGGGGGCGAAAAATCGATCTAGCTAGGTTTCATTTTTAGAAAATGTCTTTTTATCCCTGTTTTCAAGGAATAAATAATATCATTCGAATATGACGGTAAATTTCGCCGTAAACGAAAATGTTATAATAGCTCGGTCGGTAACCGGGCGGCCCCAAAAGAGACGGCCGCGGTTCGTAACTTCGTATCACGATAATTTACACACTTATTTTTGTTACTTTTTTTTCTATACCAGATCATTTTCTTTATTTTTTATTTTTTTTATTTCCAAAATACATGATTTAAAAAAAAACGAGCAAAGCTTCTCAGCACATATTTGCAAACATTATGTATGGCCATAAAAATAAGAATGACTTTTGAAGATAATATAGTTTTGAAGATAGTAAAGTGCATTATATAAATACTAGGAACAAGCTTAAACTAGTTCTACCCTCATCTAGTTTGCGTAGAATAAGTAAATCTTTTATGGGACAATGTATACGCGTTTACAACAAAATCCCAGAAATCGTTCAAAATGAATGTGTTGCTAAATTGAAAAGACGTGTAAAGGAACGTTTGTGTGATAAAGGCTATTATAGTATTAGTGATTATTTGAATGATAACACACTCTGGAAATGAATTGATCGATCCAAATTCTTTTAAGTGGAACATTTGGAAGAACAATTGGACACATGTTTGTTATGTTTTTGTCAAATTATGTTACAAAAAATATCCCGCTGAGTTTCTTTCGCTGGTTCTTCTCAGGTCAGTGGCTTATTTCCGACCGGTAGCAGTGTTTTATGACAATCAATAATTAAGTGTAATGCTTCTATATTGAATAAAGATATTTGAATTTGATTTGAAACTTTATGATTAAGTTAAATATATGTGTATGTTAAACATATTGGTAAGCCTTAATGAATAAATTATAAATTGAAAGACATAGCTTACATGTGTAACCCAATTAAACTAACATGGAAACTCCTTTGGAAGTCAGCACGAACCTCATATTGAACGATATTAAAATATGCCAAGAATAAAGATCATTAAAAGGGCCTCACAGATCACTGATCTCGTTCGTTCTGACTCTATCAACGACCGATTCGTTCAGGATCAAGAGCTTACAAAAACGAAAGCCACGTCACTAACGCTAGAGAGATTAAGAACGATCGCACCAGTGATATTAACGATGGGCCTCTATTCCAAGAACGTTGTTATGGCCGATCTAACAAGTCGTTACGATTTTTATTAATTTTCCTTAACATCTGGACGCTTTTTAACTGTTAGCTGACCGAACACTTAAGTCGACATTTAATGGGTTTTTATAAACGTTATTCAGGTTACAAACTTTTATCAGTCTATAAAAATACTTTTTTTCAATCATCCAATAAACCTTTTTCTACGTACAAACGATCCAACACTTCCAACGTTTAAATATATTTTGTCTATTTATTTGTCTACACAAATACTTTTTCAGTCTCCGATCTCTTGTACCGATACTGAGTCCACTGACTTTAATATAATTATGTTTACCCCAAAAATATTAACATTGTATACGCATTAGTAGTGTGTCAACGTTAAAGTTTTGTAATCGTTCCCCTCAGAGATAATAAAATAAACAGTATTTTGCTATTGAGGCATACCTCTTACATTTAATAAAGTCAATTTGTTCATTTTCATATGGTTTATATTATAAAATTCTTCGAGTATTAGCAGAATAACAAGGCACTCGCTCTAAATTAACACAATGCGAGTGACAACGCCCAATACCAGTATAATAGAAGAGACCGCACATCAATCCGTGAGGAGCGGCGTGGAAGGCAAATAAAAAAGTGGTCGCGTCTCGTGGTCGTAGCTCCAGAGCCTCTCAAGACTCATTACCCTCCCATTGTTCACGCGGCGGCCGTTCACAGGTAGGTGTTAAAAGGCACTTCTATTTACGGATACCCTGTTCTAGAAAGTTCCAATCTGTTTTACCGGGGTCCTCTAAATCGGAACTTGGTTGAAGCATTCTTATTGCAAATTTTAGTAAAGAAATCATTGAATTTGGCAAACTTGGCATGTTCTCCGATAGGCTATGAAGTGGAAATACATTTGGTGACTCCATGGCGCAGTGGCTAAGTTATAGGCTATGAGGCCGGGGATTGTGGGTTCGATTCCCATACGGGACAACTATTTATGTGATACGTAGTTTGTTGATAGCTAGTTGTTTCGGATCTGGATGTTTGTCCATGTGAAATATATTTTTGTAAAATGTCCTTATAACACAGAATAATGTTATCCCACAGTAAGTATCCTTATGTTTTTTGGCAATGTTTAACCTTCGATATGAAAATAATTTTTAAATGAGCAATGTGAATTTTAATCTAGGCTGGTCTACCGGATAGAAGCAAATGGCAGGTGGTGTTCCGTCACCGGCCTCGCAACCAACAACTGGCAACTAGCAATCGGGGAAGCAAAGAGCATCGATTCGTCAAGGCGCGCATTTCGGTGCTGCCCCGCCATTAACGAGAGTTACGATCCGCTACGGTCCATATAACATAACCGACCGCTTGGACCAATTATACAGATATTTCTGTACTAGCAGATATCTATAGTGCACCCATAGTAGTGCGGTGAAATTTCAACTACACATCAAAGTATAATTTGTTTAGGTCGGCGAATGGATCTAAACTGTCAACAGTGATTTAGTCAAAAACGTTGAATATGATAATTATATCAAGCACATAATACACGGCGAATGTCACAAATTGCTTCAAATATTCTTGATAGTGACTATTAATTTCTATTTCAAGATTTTATTTTATTATTTTAATATGACCTATGAGTAATCACATATTTTACACTGTAAATCATCCCACTTATATTATTAATAAGATAATTCGTGAATTAGAGTGTTCTATTCTTTCTCGTCACTGCCAAAACTGAACAGTTTCGAATGGAATTTAAAATTAAATTAAGCTCTGAACTAACAGACATATTTTTGGTGATACTCTTATTTAAATAAACTATTTATTTTAATAAGTAAGGCACGAGTGAAACCGTGGGCTACAACTAGTCGAAGATATCGTCCATAGGAACATTTAGCAACGGACGAATGAGCAAGCGTCGATCAGCTGCCACGCCGCCTCCGCTGCCATAGACACGTCACGCACATTCCCAGCATGAACTCCATCGAATCTGACGGACGGATGAGTAACATGACTCAACTATTCTAAGAATATTTTAGTGTGGCGAGAGCTGTCATGTGGCATATATATCGCTATTAATGCTTAATGAAATAAGTTATGAAATATATCGCAAGTTATGGCTTGCGGAAGGAACTATAATATTACTACATACTACACACTGAAATTATAATATCAGTGACGAATTTTAAAAACGGCTTAAGTCTATGCTCTATACGTACTTCATAAAAAAAACAAAAAAAATGTCCGATTACTGGGGAATATATAAAGAAAACGAAATGCGTTAGGCCACTGTAGTTCCTTAACGCGTGTACGCGCCTGGAATGCTCTGGTGAATCTCGGAGGCCATCGGAGCGAACCTGTTTTATCTATCGCCGGGTGTTAAACGTTAGCGCTAAATCATTTTAATGGAAGATAATTGGCGCAGTCACATTGATGCTGAGGCGGCGGACCTGCCATGGACCGAACATTAACTACTGTTCATATTTCTTACTTTTTACACCACTTCAGCACATCCGCCAAATAAATGAAATAAGGGTGATAAAATTAAAGTGACATTTTTTTTGGGTGTATGATTAAGTCAGAAAGATTGCAAGGACATTGTTGGCCACCTGTACTTTTAATTATATGCATTAATTATGGATTTCTTCATAAAAAATATTATTGTGTAGATTTCCATCTGTTTTTCCTGACTAAATTTAAAGTTAAAGTTCCGTGCGTTTCAGATATAGGATCTTAACGGAAGGTAATTTAAAAAGTGAATGAAAATCTATTATTTATATTCTAAGGAGTATAGTTATACAAATTCAAATTGTTGTGAACCTCAATTTAAAATTATTTATCCGCTTTCTAAAAGTCGCTGTGAATAATTGATTCGGACGGAACATTGTCTTTTAATATGATTGGGCCACCACGTTTGAAGAAATACCAACGTATTTCATATGGAGCTGCCAAGAAAATATTGTCCTGTTTTGATAATTTAAAAAGTTAGCTTGGAGCAGGTGGTTCATCTGTTTATAAGTCATTATCCGTATCAAAAGAGGTTAGATGCGGATGACCATGGGTGCGCAGGTGCGTTGCCAACCCTTAAAAAAGTGGGCCCCAATTACCTCATCCGCTAGATGAAACGCTAAAATATATTACTTGTTATTCACCCCGGCCGTACGTGAGATTGTGTTACTTGCCGGGACGTTTGTGGTCCTATCACAATAACAACTCATAAAAGTTATGCCACAAACATAAAATTGGTCAGGCTCGTCGTTTTTTCTATTGCGTCTTATGATTTGGTAGCGATATACAATTTTGGGTTACTAATTTGTTTGCTTGCAACAATTAACGTTACTAATTTGATATTAATTTACGAAAGTATAAAACGGGCAACAAACACTTTTTTGCTTTCGTTTTGTCTTAGCCGCTATTCTCTATTCTACATAAGAACAGTAATGTACCAAAGTTTGTCATAATATTAAAGGAAAATATACAGAACGGCATTGATTTGCATTCTGTTATTAAATTGCGTTTGGTCCGGGAGCTCCGGCACTTCCTGCGCGCGCCGTAATCTTGAATACGCTCGCCTCAGTCGCTAAACCGAGCACACGGCCTCGCTCGCTTATCGGAAATGAGCCGCGTAAATCGATGCAATAATTGCAGTTGCCGCACGCCACAGCATCCCACCTATCGTGCCTCGCCACGTACCGCGCTCTCAGCTTCCAGTCTCTTAACGCAGCATAACTTTCTTTTATATACTTCTTGTATCACGAGTCTCAAAACATAGGAAAACTTCAGGGCGTACAATTTAAATCCTTAATACTATTATTAGCAGAGTGACCAATAAACGTATATGGAATAGCCGTAAAAGAGTAAAAATGCGTTGACGACGATGATTCTCCACGCTAAAGGCCCGATAGCGAGAACTGAAGCAATCGTAGTATTGGTTTCCTTTTTAACATAGACTGGTAATATTTTACTAATAATGTCTACTTTGTGTAACTTACGCGAATACCACACAATGTAAAATATACATTGATTTAACTGTTCTTACGCAACGAAAGTACGTAGTTCTCGTTTGAGTCTCCCAAATCAGTTTTAGCCTGAGGCACCAATGCCATTCCGTCATAGTGAATCGACCCCAAAGTGCTAGAGAGCAAAAGCATTAAATTCACGGGCGGTACCTGCACTCTGAACTTAATCGGAGAGAGCATCGCAACGGGCAGACTGATAACGGATTACTGCCCAATTCGTCAGCTCAGCTCCGCTCATTAGGGCCGAGCGGCGCCTCCTCGGCCCCGGCGATTGTGCACACTCATGCTGCACGCAGCACCTTTCTATCCCACTAGGGGCTTGTTCATACGCGACTCATAGTTATTACGCCTATGAAAACTCACCACACTACTGTACAACAAAATTGATACATAGAGAAAAAATGGTAACAACGGCAGTGACACTGGTAGCAACCACAAGTTCCCCGCTTTTCTGGTTTTTAAATCATTCATTAAAAATATCCTGTCCGTGTCAATATCCAATTGAGTATCGAGAGAAAAAAGTCTTCGTGTAATAATCTGAATTTCAATATTGGCTTTGTCTTTCGTCTATATTCAAAAATATACAATTGCTACGATGCATTCTGTTGCGTTCTTGCAATAATCATATGATAACATAACACGAACAAAATACTGGATACGAGTAAATAGCAAACAGAAAGTTGTTCAAATTAGGATATGTTACCGACAATAGAAATTTGGAATGAGAGTGGTAAAACGTTGTTGCTGTGGCCGAGTCTCAAATGCTCGGTCGCGTCATCGAGCAAACGCCCAATTTGGTCAGCATCATCAGATATGGACGGCGGCTACTGTAATCACCGTCCTGTTGCCACTCATTACTCTGCGATGACTTTATCACAATTACAATAATGTTTGGATCTGAATGCACTCCCTTCGTCAATTTTAATTATGAACTGTCCATACATAACGAATTTGTATTTGCCTGTTATAATGACCGGTTGAATCCTATTTACGAAAGAAATAATTAGTGTTTTTGTAGTTTTTACAGAATTTTTATAATTGATACTAATTATTTAGTATCAATTATAAAAATTCTGTTTCCAGAAAAAAACGCTTTCATATTCTATTAACGACAAAAAAAACAAAAAAATAATAATAAACGTATAAATATTTTAGTACACATTTTTACACAACGTTCCCTACTAAGCGTCCCAAACTAAGAAACGCTTATACTTTGGGTACTAGATAAACACCCAGACACTGGAAAACACTATACTATGTTGATCACACAATATTTTTCCAGTGGTGGGGATCGAACCCACACCCTCTGGCGCAGGAGGCAGGTACACTACCCACTCCGCCATTCGGGTCGTCATTATTACAGTGTTCATTATTAATAATTAGCAAAAATTTTTTCTACAAATAACTGGACTTATTGCTTAAATATCACGTCTAAATCATTTTTATAGATATAGAAATTATCAGATAAGACTTAAAAAAATAACTGAAATACCTATCCGTTTACGATGGCACAAAGGGTTAATTCGTGAAGTTTGATCTAATCTTTAATTTGTGTAAAGGAGTAAGTTGAATGTCGTGCATATATCACATTCAAAATATCTTTCATTAATATATACAAAGTTTATTGATTCACGCATTCACTAGAGAGAGCTGCATTTGAACTAGAACTATGTGCTTAACAGTAATAAAGTACCACATTGGGGGCGGGACGTATTCATCAAGCTCAAGGAGGCCTGAGTGTAGATGCTGATGTTGATAACGATAATGGCACAGGAATTAAAATGGCTGATGGTCAAACGCACGTCTGGAACAGGTCCCGCACCGCGGGGGTGGCGGAGTGAGCATGCCAATGCGAAATGCTGTCTACATTTTAATTAAAATACGTCATTACATTCATTTCGCGATATGTGTTGCTGTTGGTCATTATATTATTGATGCTATTCTGATTTGGAGTCTCGGCTAGTTAATAATATCGGGCATATACACGTATATTTCTTAGGATCCTTGGCGTACAATTCCGTATTGCATAATTTCAACATAGGATACAAATTTTATGAAATATACCTCAATATATTAATCGATTCACTATACACTCGTATGAACAAACACAACATATACATATAAACACAACAAACACAAATATTTTCTACAGAAATGAGTAAATAGCGTCAAGACCGACATTAAATTTTGTAAAGGATTTCATGTTGATTCGCATAGGTCACAGTCAATTCTCCCTGGTCTAGTTAGATTGATGATGTTACATAATAAAAGCATCGCAAAGCATACGGTAAGATGATGTAGACCATTCGCGAACGAAAGCTCACGTAACGAGAGGCCATTAAAAGCACCTGCCGCACTTGCAGTCTGCGCCGTGCGGCCCACCGGTGCGATCTGATATCGAAAGTTTTATGAGGGATGCCTTTACGTCTGACGATCCACGATGACGCGCTTCCGCTGCTATCCGCCGATCGTTGTTCATGAGCTTTCGACAAAGTTCGCTTGTCTCATCACGTGATATAAATTAGATAAATAGGTATACAATTTATCGATGATATATTTCACCTATCGCAAAATTACGTTTAGTTCTACTTTTAAGCACAAGAAATCGTTTATAATAACGATAAACTACGAAAAATAAAATGTGCTGATTGTATTGTTGTGGTTTTTTATACGAAAATTTGCCAAACGAGCAAATCCGCCCATGGACATCTGCTACACCCGAGGGTTACAGATGCGTTGACAACATTTTGAAAATTGGGCTCCGGCTACCTCACTCACCAGACGAAATGCGAAAGTATTTGTCATACTTCCACTTTACGCTGGTCTTCTGTGAGGTCGTGATACTTACCCGGATGGGCCTGCCCATTCGTGCAAAAGCCGAGGCTGCTGCGTGGCCCTATCACCGAAAAATATCTACCACCGTAATAAATGAAAGACTTAAAATATAACTTTTCTTTCTCCGTCTGACCTTAATCCCAACTGTAACAGACAATCTGCTCTAGAATGTTTTTACCGTGTGCAGTCTTAAGGATAAAACTGATATAAAAAGCAAAATGGTTAAATGCAAAATGTTTTGATGCAATGAAATTTCAGTCGTTCGTAATCAAACAAATTATTTAAAAATTCTGTTTTCTTTTAATAAATATTCGCGACGGAATTGATTTTCGAAAAATCATCCTAAATAAACTTAATCAGAACTAAGTTTTGAACCTGCAAAAACCTTTTATTTTCATTACGGATTGTTGTAACGTAAATAAGGTGGTGTGTAATCGATTTTCAAGTTATAATTAAAAAAAGTAAATATATAAAATAATATATCAGCCTATACATGTCCCACTGCTGGGCAAAAGCCTCCTTTGTACAGTGGGTATCAGAGCATAGTCCACTACGCGGCTCCACTGCGGATTGGCGGACTTCACATATCTTCGAAATATTCTTTTTTATTATTATACTTAGCGAAGTACTTCCGTACACATATTCCTAGAACTAATAACTAGTTCTTTTTCTAGTCTCCAAAGTGATGATTTATTAATATTCACTCAAAAACGTTAAATGGTAACGTAAATATACAACACGATATATTCCATGTACCATGTGTTGGAATGTTGCAATGAAAAAAAACTCAACACATTCTGTTCATACTGTACTTTATCCTTGTGTTTGTATTTTTCACTGTCCTATTCCAACGTTTGTTATTATGGATTTACTATTAAATTACTTGAATGTTTTTATCAAATCTTATTAGTTTGGTTTATAAAAAAAACGAAGCGGAAAAATACTTTCTTAACGTTTATGCAATCTCTTATAGTAATTTATAAAATGATGAAAACTTCTGTCGTAGTTTTCAAACTAAACGGTATTGCAGAATCAATAAGGACGTTGGCTCCATAAGGTCGATTTTGCCAACGGGTACAATCGGTCGCGTGACGCGTGTACCTGTTGGACCTTTGGTATTAATAAAAGAAAAGTCTGCGGCAATGGGAATCTAAAGGTCACGCGATGCGTCGCTTCGCGGTATACATATCTCGCAAACGGTACGTAGTTAACTCGAGTGAGGGTGGCAATTGGAAGCACCACTTCGTTTATTGACTGATCCGTTACATTTAAGTCGCACCGTCCGCTGGGGAGAGTGCTCAGGACACATAATTGGAAAGTCAGGAATGTTAAAAGCTTCTATAGTGTTATAATCTTAGCTGGATTTGTCCTATCGTTGCTCGCTTCCTATCGTCCTATCGAGTGCTGAAACTGCAACTGTCCTTGTAACGATGGGACATAAAACCGATCTGCGAGTGAGGCGCGCGCGGTTCCGTGAGGCTGCCGATGGCGGTGCGCGCGCGGGGCCGCTTTGGGCCGCGGGCGATCCGCCGCTCGATCAGGGCCCGCAGCGGCGGCTCACCTTGACGGGCGGAGGAGGACGGCGAAGCATTTGCTCATTAGCAGCGGCCACGGCCAATCACGTGTACACATAATAGTCGGTAGTTACCGTTTGCGCGGGACAGGAGCGCGGGCGGGCATCGAACCGCGGCCGGTCAACGCACCGCGGCCGATGTCGGCCAACTGGGGCACTGTGAATGTGAGGGGCTGCACTACACTGGCACTGGCACTGGCACTGGCACTCACTGGGCGCGGCGTGGGCGGGCGGGGCGACGGCGCGGACGAGCGAGCGGCTCGGGAGGCGCGCGCGCACTGGCCGGCGCGAGAGGCCGCGGCCGGAGCTTTTTGCGCTCAAAAGCTCACGGCCAAAGTGGAGCCGTCGCTCCCACGGTGCCGCGACCGGTAGTGGCGGTGCCTCCGATTCAAGTATCGCTCTATCGCCGTTTTATTGTTATTCCGTCATAAAATACCACGATTGATATTATTTTTAGATTTGTGGCCGCGTTTCCCGTTTTTTTTTTCCGGAGGTCCTCATACATAAACTTTTTAATGCAATTGCAGCTCGTAAACTGTATTTTAGAGTCGCCGCAAGATTACCATACACTGCTACTCTTATTAGACATTCAAATAAAAACATACTCGCATCATTCTTTATCTTACTTTGCTGTAATATCTCAGAGTTTGGCCGCTCGCTTTTAATTCTATACACTCGAGCAACCTGGATGCTCAGTGCCCGTACCAATTTACCCAAAAAATTATAGTGCTAATCTTTGCACTTAGAAACATTAAAATTAGCAGAAAAAAGAACGAAAATTTATCAGACGCTGCAGGAATCGAACCCACGGATTCTCGCCCAGAAGCTTTAACGATTAAGTTAAACGACTGATTGCCAAAATGACGAATATCTCAATGTCTTTTATCTTCGTTGTTTTTCACATTTCGGCCAAACATTTTTTTGTGTTAAATAAGTGGACTATGCCTTGATACCCTCTGTACAAAGGAGGCCTTTGCAGTGAGCAGCAGTGGGACATTTATGGGCTGTTACTTTACTTTACTTTTACTAATTGACATACATTGATAAAAGAAGCTATTAATTACCGCAGTGGAGTTTCATTATAATTTCTTAAATATGAACGAAGATTTTTAACACATCAATTTTTTTAAAACATTTATGATTGGCACATTCTCCTTCACTCCTACAAACTTAACTCCTCCTAAAACGTTCTTGATTCAGTATTAAAGTGCAAATAAATCTTTGGAGTGCGATTTTAATACCACATGCCTGGAGGTCCGGCAGAAGGATCCATTGGGGCCGTTTGACGAATGGCACCGTTGCTAATGGATGTACATACGAGGCCGAGGTGGACTCACTGATGCCTTCTAAGTAATAAACGCTTCGAAGCACTTTATCTATGCCACCGACTGATGCCCTCCGCATCGGTGCAGTTTGCTGGAACTCTGTCTTATCTCAAGACAAATGATCAACCGGTAGCATCATCATCAATGTAGAACTTCCATTGAATCACATTTTCTTAAGGATTTTCATATTTAATAATCAAGGAGTATGCCGATCATCCCTAAATACGTTTTGTTACACGATATTATTATATGTGCAGTTAAAAGATTAAGACCGTGTATTCAAATATTTATTATTGCACCACCTTAAACCAACGAAGCACCGCTAGCGCCTCTCGGCTCCAGCAAAGATGACGGCTATACCAGTTCAGCAAGAAATACGATACCCGCGCGCTGCACTCGCAATTAAATACGACCGAAGCTCAAGAGCGAACTGTGCAATATACATTACAGACTTCGGTCCACGATAGATCTAAAAGTGGTATAAATCTAAGCAATGGACTGCGATGAAGAACTCCGATTGAAACTAATACGGAGTAAGGCAGTAGGAGCCAGTCCATTGTATTACGTTGTCAGCACTCGCTAACTCGCGTGGACAGAGCCCTCTCGGATTACCGAAAGACGAGGAGGGGCCGCAGGAAAAAAACACAAAGTGACAGGATCAAGTGCGTAACGAAGTAGAGCGGACTGCACGCAAGTCTGCCGCGGTGTACGGCTGTCGGGGCGCAGAAATTACGAGCAATTGATCTCACCAGAAAGCAGCAATCAACACACAGTTTCCGTTTAATTGTAACTCTATAACATTAGTGTCTTCGATAATAGTTTGCGACGTGTAAATTTTATCCTTGCGATTCACATTGAAGTCAAGCCTAATATCATCAACAGCGTAAAAGTGTATAAACGTGAACACGCAATATCTAAACGGTCACTAAAAGCACTTTCACGTCTACTTTTCTCGTATTTTATTTTTTCATGGACATTTCGAAAAGTAAAAGCCTTTCGATTTCAAACCCAGTAAGAATTACGATGACGGGATTTTTACTTTTATTTTCTAAAGATGATTCGGTAGCGGTCAGGAGGTTGATGGTGGTGATGACTTATATTTATTAAAGTTATCACGATTCTTTGTTTGAATCATGTGCTGAGTGCTCATATCTCTAATATTATATTTTAAAGTCACAATATTTCTAAAAAAACATGTAAATGCCGCCAATTGTGTTAAAAAAAACATAAGATTATTTTACATCTCATTCGTCAATTCAAAGGATACATTTAATTCATTCGTAATTAATTAATGCACTAATATAACTTATGACTCTAACGATTAATTAATGCTTATCTCGAAAAGATAACGTGGAATGTATGAACAGCTCAAAACATACGAATGAATTCCGGCTTACAGCATTTCGATTGGTAGGAAATAAAATGTTTGAGGGATCGCCGTGGGCCCCGAAGGCGACACTCGTATTTGTCTCCTGCCATGTCGCCAGCCGTGGCCCGAGCGGCCGTTTAAGCTCGGAGCCAATAAGACGTATCTCGTATCTCGTACGTGCGGCTGCGATCCGTTTAATTTATTCGTGGAGATCTTAATCTGATTATCTCGGATGAAATGCAACCAGCCGGAGATGCAGGGATAGAGCCGTCGATACTCTTATATGTCACCGCGTGTCGCCCCTAATGTGCATGTAATTGATTTACTCTTGGGACCTTTCGAGGATCTGGTTATCTAAATCACCATTCGCTGAGTACAAAACGTTCTTCACTTGTAAATAAAGCTAAAACTTCTATACTAAACATTTATATTTAATGATTACGATCGGTCAGTAGCTACAGGTTGACATAAGCGCAGTTATGAAGCATTTGTCTGTGATAGGGCCACGACAAATATGTAATGAAACCTTCAACTGCTACACGAATGGGCAGTCTCATTTGGGCAAGTACCGAGATCTCACAATGGTTCGCTTATCAACTTATCAACTTCCCGCATAAAAGAGATCTCACAATGGTTCGCTATTCAACTTATCAACTTCCCGCATAAAAGAACCCAATGAAACATTTCATTCACCACATTCAAATTCTATTAATCCTATTTAAAAGTTGTTGCCTGAAATTTTTGGATTGTTCACACTAACACAACTACAATTTATTTAAAAATTAATCACCTGAAGCATACTTCCACAAAAGCAGTAACATATTTATAAAAAATAATGAATGGATACGAAATAAAATACAGATATGTATAAAATCAAAAATTATGTGGAATACAAATTTTATTAGCTTACTACTGCCAGAACTCGTTTAACCTGTTAATTATAATGCGCTGGTATTCTTCAATTACATGTTATCAAACCAGACCAATGTCCAATCATTTGCAACGTATCAAATAAAAAATGCTTTCGTAGTAATAGCTGAATAACTCTCTTCTAGATGTACCTACTTGTTTGAGAAGAAGCTTTTTGCAAATTCTATTAATATTGACACTGTGTCAATTCGATTAAAATCTGCGGCGGTGAGTCCAATTCCATGAGCTCACTACAATGAGATAATCATTCCGATCTCAATGCCGACGATGACGCAGGGGCCGCAACGATATTTCACCGGCGCCGTGAGAAACTCGTACGCCTATAAATCAAAATTGTTGCTAAAGAATTATTAACATTAAGTAAGTGACGGAGAGATTTATAAGCTGTTGTAAACGAGCGTTTGAACTCGCCCCCCGACGCCAATTAACCAATTAAAAGCAACACTGGGGCCACGTTCCGTCAGCAGTGACGTAACACACTTTTACATCTTTACTTTAACCTTTTATTTCATTCGACGACTACAGTTTAGAAGACGTTTTCACTTTTACTTTTTTATGTAAGAAGGTGGCAACTGAGCTGACGGTTCACCTAATGTTAGGTGTAAGGTGATAAACGCCGCCCATGGATATTTGCAACACCTGTAGAGTTGCAGATGTGTTACCACATTTTAATAAAGTGGGCCCCGGCTACCTCACTCACCAGACGAAACGCAAAAGACCAAAACTTCCACTTCACGCTGGTCTTCCGCGGGGTCTTGGTTCTTCAACGGACAGAGCTGCCCTTCCGTGCTGTTTCGTGGCCCTACCACAGTTAGATATACAGCGTGTCGTTACAACCGCGACAATAAATGAACACACATATAGAGGATAACTTTGTAAAATTGTATTAAGCATTTACATTCTTTAAACATCAATATTTACCGAGTTATTAAATTTTACAAAACGAACGTTTTTAGAACACCTTTACGTATAAAACTGTAAGGTAAAGTTCATCTGTAAAGGTCTCAAAGCATATGAATGGGTTGAATGAATTTAAAAGAGATAAAACGTACTTTTAGAAGGAGAGACTTGTAATGCAACGTTGTGGCAACGAATGAAAAAGTCTCTGAATGTATGAATCAGTCAGTTGTAGTTGTATAGGATGTTACAATTTTTTTTTCATTTTTATTTCATTAATTTGTTTGAAAACTATATTTTTTTAGCTATGGATTTTGCTTAACGTTTTTATATTTTTTTATGATTATTGGCAAGTAGCGTTAGACGTGTGTTTATTTATTGTCGCGGTTTTAACGACACGCTGTATATTCATAATGAAATCATTGCACGGCTACCACTATTATAAAGCATGAAGCAAACAATAGGTATCTACAATAACACAGGATTTAATTTGAAAAATAGTTCTGTAGTAGTTCACTCCCGTTTCGACTTCTAGATTTCTAGAGCCTTTCATGACAAGAGCTACGTTTAAATTTAATATATATTTTTATAATAAGGAAATATCTAACAATACAGTCTAAAAACTTTTATATTCATAACATTTCCCAAAGCTTACAATTCAGGCATTGAGTAATGAAGTTATATGTTGGTTGTGATAGTGATTGCTATCAAGAGAATTTAATTTACACATCAAACTTATAAAGATAATCTTGCTTATTCTTCTTATGAGAGGAATAAGCAAGATTAGCTGGAAATAAAATGTGTTATGTGTCATAACACATACTTACTAAAAACAGTAATAGCGTTTTAGAATATGCTTTAAGGCTACATACAAAACTAGTAGATAATATAGTTTCAATCTTTACAACACCAGGTAAGCGTCTATAGGTGTTATTAACTAATTGCCGCTGTGGCGGTGTTCAACTTGTTCAATAACTTAACAGTACCCAAAGATTTATTAATTTGATAGTTCTACGCAAAGATCTACGTTTGTTTACATTTTTCTCTCACTTTGTCGACTGCAGTATCGACTCGTGAGAGTATTAGGTTTTCTGTGGTCGACTGAAACGGTGTACCAATTGTTTTCGCAGCAATTGGTGGAATGGTGACGGAGCGTCATCGTGCGCGTATTTGGGAGAGTGCGGCGCCGCCATTGGCCGGGGCGCTCTGGGCGGGGCCCGCTCGGCCTCCGCCACGAACCACGTGGCACGCTCCGGTGCCTTCCACGACTCTCTTCGCCACTTCAGGAAACAATTAGAGATAAAAGCTCGCTACATATTCTTATAGAAGCAATATCTACTTCTAGCACAATACTTTTACATACGAGTACATAGCACCGTAATTGTGCTACAAAGTGTTGGAAACACCAATAACAAAAAGTAATGAACGTAATGTTATCCCATTTTAATTTATTTCGACATCGAGAATATCTGTTCTATATCTATGAGCAATATATATCAAGACTACAATACTACTCCCTACAATATAATTAATGGACATTAACGAATCAAATCAATATATTTTTGAAAATTGATGTCACTTCTTAAATCATCAGGCGAGATACATTAATCTCAAGAACATAGTAATTTTTGAAAATGTCGTTTTTGCAAAAATGCAACGCCTTTTAATTGTTACAAAAGGGCAAAGACACTGCAAGTGTCATTAATGTCATCATAATTGTATTGTCGTGACTGCGTGCTGCGAAACCTAATCGATAAGACCAGACCAGTTCTGGATAAGACGGTAAGGAAACGAGGCACACGCAACTACGAAGCAAGAACCCCGCAGTCGGTACAGAGGAGCTAAAAATTAGTGTTCACAAAAATATTTAAATTATGTTTCAGGTAGATGAATGAAACACAAGAGTATTTTAGAAATTTTATTTATAGTGAAATAATTATGCATGTGACAAAAAGATTGAATAAAAACTATATTATAACAATATAAATTTTTGTTAAAACTAAGAACATAATGACTAACTGAATATTCAAAGCTTTTCCTCAGCTTTCTAACTTACTTTTTCAGACAGGTGACAGAGCGACAGGACGCGTGCAGGAGGTCAGTGACCCGATGCGGAGCGGGTGAGCCCAGCTGCGGTTCGCGGCACGCCCCGAGCCCAGATGCGGGCCACGACGCCCTGCGCGCACTGCTTGTGCCGCAGAGGGCACTCGCACTCGGCGGGGCGGACGCGCGCACCGTCACCATGCCGTCACACCGGTCCTCTCGATTACCTAATGAATCTCTCAGCTTTAACACTGCTCCTTGGCCTTTATACAACGATACTGTTTACTATTTCATTCGAAACTTCCAACGGGATCAGAATGGCCAGTTATCCAAATACGACTCAAGCGAACTCAAGTACGTTGGACGTTATTTTAACTAAAGAGACCTGGCGTCAAACAAAGGAGATCTATTTGATGGCAATCCTATTATCGCCTCAATTGAAATTCTTGGCGCTTACGCACAGAACAACGTTCAATTTCCTCACCTTTGATCTAGAAGCAATGTCAGCTTGTTACGCGAATCCTCGCGGTCGCGTCTCTGATCGCCTGATCCTTTGACCTTTGACCTTCTGATTGTTTGACATTTTGCTTCACATTTTGATCATGTCTAACCGCAAGAACAACTGTGAGAAATTCGGATTACCTGCTGGGTTAGTACGCTATCACCATCGACATCACTTACGTCACTAGCAGTCCACCACCGTTCGTTTTTCTAGAAGTCTTTTCTATAGCAAACGAGCAGGAGGCTCAGCTTATGGTAAGTGAACTGCAGCCCATAAACATCTACAACACTGGAGGGCTGGCAAATGCTTTGCTGGCCGTTTAGGAAAGAATATGCTCTCTTCTTGATCCCAAGTCATAACGATTCGGCAAGACCGCCGCCGGTAGCTGGTTCCAAAGAGTGGTTGAGCGAGGAATGAAATTCCTTGAATTATTTTCAAGGAATTTCACTTTCGCTGTTGTGGAACGCTGGACATCGAGGTGGTGTGGATGAAATTTTTGGTTCTTTTCGCGATTTCCAATGGTGAAATTCAGCCGCTGGGATCAATTCAAACAATTCCTCTGAACACTCCCCTGGAGTACTCTGAACACTCCTCTGAATACGGTAGAAAATGCAGAGTGATCCAACATCTCTACGCACAGCGAAAGAATCAAGCCAATCGGAAAGACTTTGATCGTCGATAACCCAAGCTGCCCTACGATGAGAATGTTCATGGGAGTTGGTGAACAGATGCTGTAAAAATTTATGTTCATTATTAAGCGAGGACTCGCTTAACTATTGCCTTCGGCGCAATTGGTTGTATCGTTCTGGAGTGTAATACCTGTTACATAGCACTGTTGTAAACTATCGCCAACTTTTTGAAGTTCATTCTTGACTAATATAATAAACACATTCGAATGAACCAGCTAATTAGAGAAATTAGATTGAATTGTTATCGAATAGAATTCTCATCCTTACTAATATTATAAACGCGAAAGTTTATATGTATGGATGAATGTTTGTTACTCTTTCACGCAAATACTACTGAATGGATTCTAATAAAACTTTACAATAATATAGCTTATACATCAGAATAAGACATAGGCTATAATTTATATACATATTCTATGTATATCTCTCTTTCTGTCTGAAGGTTATGCCTTCAGCCTATTCTACGCAGACGAAATCGCGGGCAGCAGCTAGTTTATTAATAAATTTCATTTTTTAATTTTAACTATAAGGTTCTAAAGTGATAAGAGACCTTCAACGTCTTAAATTTACTTCTAAACGCCTCTCCTAATTGGCCTCCCACTGCGGTCGAATAATTTATAAGAAAAACACTCTATCGGAGCTAACAAATTACTCACATTTTAGTTACATATTGCAATATGCCATATTGCAATATGTGTGTAAAATTTATTTGAGTAAAATGAATTTCTGTATTGAAATATTAAAACATAACATTCTATGGCCAAGAAAATATTATTAAAATAATCATGAACACAAATGGTATAAGTTCAGGCATATATTAATATTATAGGGGTAAAAAGTGAAATAAAATGAGGTGACATTTATGTAATACTAAACGTGGGTAAAACTTTTTTATTTAAGAAATAGCAAAAACATAATTTAGGTACACTGGAATTCAAATTTACAACGTCTGATCAAATGTCTTATACTGCAGTCGAATTAGTCACCACTGATTCAACTACAATGTTATCCGCACAGAATATAAAGCTTAAGGTATTGTATTAGGAACTGTAGTAAAATATTATTATAAATAACTGTAATATAATATTATTATAACTGTAGTACAATATTATTGTTGTTCGGAGTTACGCAACCGAACAGCGACATTGTCACTTTGTGCATCATAGGCACATTACACTAAGGTACATATGTACGTTTCACGCAGAATGCAAGGACGGCACCCCACGACCTCTCGCTGTCCACCAGAGCGCGAACCACGGCAGGCAACGAGAGATCGTGCCCCACGATAGCTGTCAGCTCTCCCCGCTGCTCCCGCCAGGCTGGGCACTCCTCCAGTGCGTGTTGGGCCGTCTCCTCGGCACATACTTCGCAGTGATGGCAAACCGCTGTTGGCTCCCTCCCCGCCAAGCGGCACAGGTACCTCCCGAAACAGCCATGTCCCGAGAGAACCTGCGTCACCTGGTAGGTAAGGGTGCCGTGACCATATAACCAATTATAGACCTATGTCACTTCTTTCTAGTAGTTACTAGTTTTGGAGTCCATAGTACATAAAACAATTTTATCTCATGTACAAGATCAGATACACGTAAATCAACACGGGTTTCTACCCCGTAAATCTGTTAACACAATTTTGTTAGAATATGTATCTGATATTGTAGAAGCATTTGAAAAAAACGAAGAAGTTTATTCAATTTACATGGATTTGAGAAAGGCATTTGATGTAGTTAACCATGACCTGCTTCTAGTAAAACTGGAGTATATGGGTATCCACGGATCACTGTTAAGATGGTGTCAGTCCTACATAAGTAATCGTTAGCAATTAGTTTCAGTTCAAGGTTCAATGATTTATATCATTTCAGTACAATGTTCCTTCAGGAGTTCCCCAGGGATCTCATCTCGGCCCATTATTCTTTTTAATTTTTATTAACGACATTGTATTAAATCCAATTTTAAAATGTACGCTGATGATTTGAAAATATATCGCATCATTAAAGACAATGAAGATGTTAGATTACTACAGTCTGATATCGATAATGTAGTTTCTTGGTGTACATCTAACTATATGGCATTGAATTTTGATAAATGTTTTCACATAAAATTTAGTAGAAAAATACTAAATCGATTAGCCAACTTTTCACTAGAGAACCGAAAGATACAGGAAGTTGAACGCATTAATGATTTATTTACATTAGTGATTATCGACAGCTCATTAAGTTTTAAAGACTATATTGATAACATTATAAATAAATCTTCACGCCTATCTGGTTTTATTAGCAGGGAAATGAAAAAAAATTGGCCAACCATGTATTAGTATACTATTGTATAATTCTCTCGTGCGGAGTAAATCGGAATATTGTAGCAATGTATGGAGTCCTCATTACATTACTTATTCCGATCGAATAGAGCGTATCCAGAAACGTTTTTTATAGCACCTGTGTTACAATAATCGCACATGTCGATTATTTAAGTCTTACACTGATCGTTTTCACATTTTGGACTTCTACCCCTTTCGTCACGCAGGAAAGCTGCTGACATAATGTTTGTCTATAAATTAATACATGGCATTATAGAATCCCCAAAGTTATAAGAGCGTTTATATTTTTCGGTCCCGCGTGCAGGTTATCGTATTCATAATAGGAAAACGTTTATTTTGCCTTATAGTAGAACGAAACTCGGCCAGAACTCTCCTATGTATCGCATGCCTTCACTATGTAATACTATTAGATTTGATATTGACATATTCACTGGTTCTTTGGCCTCTACAAAAAAGAAAGTGTCTAGGTTTTTTTCGGTCCTTTAATATCATTAAAGTATTAAATAGTTTACTCATTAAGTAGTATTGTGTATGCTGTGTTTGCTATGTATAGAATGCAATATTTTTTTTTCTGTGTATATTTCTTTTGTTATCATGCTAGATTGTATTCGGTTAAGCAGACTTAATAAACTAAGAAAAAAAACATTTACCAGAATAATTATGAACTCTCTCCCTGTACAACCTTCTTCAATTATACTACAGTTCCTTATATGCTCAATAATTTGCGAAAAACGTTTTGTAAAAACGAATACCGCCCTAAAATGCCTCACCTAATTACCTCAAATTGGAACTGAGGCAGCGGCCTCTATTCTTTGTGGAAAACGGGTGCCCACAGACGTTCTTCCGTTATATATATATATATATATATATATATATATATATATATATATATATATATATATATATATATATATATATATATATATATATGTCGCCGCAGCGATTATTTGGCTTTTAAGTTAATTTAAAATCGTAATACAGAATATCAATGTTTATATTTAGAAAACAAGTTTGTTAATTCATAAATTTAGTTTTAATTATTACAAGAAATGATTATTCTCAACTACATGATTAAAAGTTATATTTACTAGAAAATCAATAACTAAATCCTCATCTTAATTTAGTAAATAAATACTACCTTAATTTAAACATTTAATTTATAAGTAACAGTTTTGTCTCACTAATACAGTCTCAATACGATTCCGTATTTCAACCATTTGAATGTCCATACTGTTGTTTATTTGTGAAATTGCTTAAATAACTTTTGAATAGTTTTAAAACATTACTATAAAACTATGGAACTTTTATAACAATTTATTCGTTAATAACAACTTTAATTCATTTATAATAGTTTCATAAAGTTGTAAAAATACTGTGCGATTATAACGCCACCTGGCGATTCAGTGGCGTTGACATTGTAAACTGTGGTACCTAAAGTGCTTTAAGTGGAGAGCTCACTTCGAAGCTGACTTTTGAAGAGAAAACATTGTAAGTAAAATCTGTGTCAGTTCAATAAAATAATTATTATTTTTGTACTTTGTTTATATGTTACTTTTTGCCTAACCCTTATGTTTAAAGTATTGATGTAATCCCTTCGTTTATAAGAATTTAATAAAGTATTTGGTTGTGTATTTTGTAAATAAAACTTGCTTAAGTATATTGGAACTGATGACTTTAGGGTCAGCAGTTCTGTTTC